TGTTATATCTGTTTTTTTTTTTTTTTTTTTTTTTTTTTAGCTTTTGATTCTGTTCCTTTCACGTCCACAGATGTCATACACGGGTCAGGTTGGACAGCAGCAGGTTTTGTTGGCAGAATAGGCCATTTAGATTCAGAACGGCCCCTTATGATCTGGGAAGGTGCTGGGACCTGTCCTGGGGGCAGAGGTCATGGGACCTGTCCAGGGGAGGGGACGATGGGGGCAGTCCAGGGGAGGGGGAGAGGGACAATGGGGGCAGTCCAGGGGGAGGGGACGATGGGGGCAGTCCAGTTGGCTGATTTTGGGTCTGTGTATCCATCCTGATTTATCACTCTACTGGCAATCTCAAGCACGTAGATCGTTCTACAAGACGTAATCTAATACGTATTAAATCCAGCTAAAGGCCACCCATGGCTCCGTTCCTAGGTCCACCGCTGTACCCACCTCAGCCGCGGGTGCATGCCACCTCCTGGATTCATCCAAACAAACTAGTATAGTGCGTAGGTGAAGCCGCAAACCACTTGTCTGAGTAGCTTCAAAACCACTTTATTGATCCGGCAGAAATGAGGACAACTCCCCCCAGGCTTCTCTTTAACACGTTTTGCCCCATGCCGGGGCTTAATCAACTCTACAATTAAGCTCCAGCAGGGTGCGAAACATGTCAGAGGCGTGGGTGGAGTGTCCTCATTTCTGCTGGATCAATAGTTGTTTTCAAGCTACTCGGATTATCGGTGGATATGTTTGTACCGCCCAACCTGTATTTTTGCTTAGTAGGGCAAGGCTCTATCAGCTTTTAATTACTTTCTATGTCCCTGTTGGGGGAAGATTCTGCACACACTCTCTATTTATTGGGACAGGAAGTGAGGAGATTCTCTCTGATGGGGACACAGCAGGTAAAAGATGGGTGTGCTTCTGCCCTTTTGCCCCATACATTGTGTTTTTATTGGTGTCTGTGACCAAATCCCTCATTGAGACCGGAAGTAATGGACACAAAGACGGGAAGTACGGAGGGCACCTCCCCACATAGCAATAAACACCTTTTTTCTGATCCTTCCCAGCTCTACTGAAAGTATTTTTGGCTGGAGTTGCTTTAAATGCCTTCAGCTACAGTGAGAACATACATGGCACCGAGGTTCTATATCAGAGGAGACTAATCAAACAGGCCAAGATTCTTGGCACAAGGTACAGTAACCCATAGCAACCAATTAAAATCCACTTTACTCATGTCTGAGCAGTGATCAGAGCAAGATGGATTGTGATTGGCAGCTGTGGATTCTAGTTTGTCTCTGAAAGCCTAAAAGTGTCTGAGAGCAGTTGTCACCCATAACGACCAATCAAATTCTGCCTGATAAGGTGGCCATACGCTGTGATCAATTTAGACATGAGCAACCACAAACAATAGATCTATGATCAATTAAATTATCAGTAACGAGGTTTAGGCAACGACCCCTCGGTAGCCATTTTGTAGGCCCACGGTTACCTACTATGGCACTTCACCATCCTGCCGCATCACACACGGTATTGTTCCACTTCTTGCGATCGAGTGACAATATTGATCAAAAAATATAATGGATCGGTTAAAATTATGAACAATCTTTTTTTTAAAATTTTATTTAAATGATCACTTTATCGATCAGAATTCCAATTGGTTCTCCCGAAACGCGTAGATGTTGGCTTGATCAGAAGCGAGCAACAAAATTCTAGCAAAGCCGTATAGCCGAATCCATGGAGAGCCACCCAATCATGTCCCTTCATATTGCTTGATTTGTATGCTATTGATGAGTGTATGGTGACCTTACCGGTTCATAAATCTAGCCTGACGCCAAGCCTGTGTATGACACGTCGGTCCCTTTGCTGCATTTCACTAAGCCCACATCTCTCTGTTCTCTGCGTGTGACACGTGGTTTTAGTTTTTTTTGCCTTTTCTCCACACTTGAATCCATCCTTGCCGCTAGTTGTGTGCTGCAGTAAGTCGGCCTCTTTGCGGTTCCCTCGAGCTGCGCGGCGGCCCATCTGAAACTGGCTGTATTGATCTTACACTGGGGACGAAGGGGGTGCGTGCGAATCAGAAGGAAATGATTTATCTCCGAGATTTGTTGTTTTTTTTTTTTCTACTCTACGAATCTGAAACACCTCTTGGAAAATTGTTTTTATATAATAAATCTATTTAATATTTTGGGGTTTTGTCATTGATTTAAATATAATACTTTAATAAAAAGGCAACAAATATTTTCTGATTTCTTCTTTTGTTCCTCGTTATTTCTTTTATTGGTTTATTTGAACTTTTTGAACAATATTCAACTCGTTTAGAGTCCGCAAAGTATTTTCCTTTCCCGTCCTGATTTCAACTTTTACGTTGAACTTCTTTTTTTCACGAGGCGGCCCAACGAAGTACTGATGGGGTGGTCATAATAATCTAGCCACTCTGTGTATAATGCTGTTAACACCTCCTCAGGCAGGTTTATTGCACCTAATTTACAAATTATGTAACACAGGCACCAATGTGCGGGTGATCACACTGAATGCAGGGAGCCCGGCTGACTTGTGTTCCAGAGACCGAATGAACGAAGAGGTTTAAAGCCCATCTCCAGCCAAGGCTTTGGGGGGGGGGGGCATAATGTATAAATGTCTATAGCTGCCCAATACCATACACCATTAGGAATTCACATTTGTTAGAAACAAAATAAATTTTGGGATGTTTGTTTGATATTCTAATTCATTTGGTCAAGTTTTCATTTCTGACATTTTATGGTAAAAAAAAAATTAATCTGAGGAGCAGGGTGGCAAGGTTGTGGTGGGAGTTGGGCTTTAAAGCTGAACTCTGGGATAAGTAAATATTGTCCTCATACTAGAGTCATGTGTTCTCTTCTTCTTTGAATCTTGGTGAGCTTTGTGCATTTCTACCAGATCTGTGCAGTAATCCAGTGTGAGACTTGGAGCTTCCTGTAATAAAGACCGCTCACTGCCTCCCTCCCTCTCTCCCCCCTTGTGCAGGGTGACTGGTCTGGTCTTTGCCCCCCCCCCCCCCCTCCTGTAATAAAGACCGCTCACTGCTGCTCTCTCCCCTTGTGCAGGATGGCTGGTCTTGTCTCCGCCCCCTCCTGTAGTTTCCTGTGTACGGATTATGTACAGCTCAGGGATGATGTCACTGCTACTTGTAAATTAATAACTGCATTTGCAAGAACATTTGGTGCTCACAAAGAGGATTTGTATCCTTTGTGGTTGGCGAGAAGTCTATTGATGTCCGGAGCTCAGATTGAAGTGTGAAACAATGTATATTACAGGGACACTTTGTTGAGCTGCAGGATGTTCTTGGCACTGAAAGTTTCACACTTAAAACTGCCTACTCAGCTTGTAATCCAGACCACAGTGTACCGGCATAGAAGTGAAGGCTACTATGTGCCGAAACTCTATAAAAGTAGCTTTTTTAATAATGACAATCGGTAGGAAGCAAGATCAAAGTATTCTGGATTTCCTTTTGCAAGACCCATAACCCATAAACGTGTATACGCCACAAATTCTAAAACCACATCATTTAAGCACAACGCAACTACCGCATGACATTCAATACTTTTATAAAATTGGAAGATGTATATGTGCAGAAGGACCAGAATCATGTATGTAATAAAACTGCAAAATGAATATAAGTAAAAGCAAATTGATAAAAATATATAAAATTGCTGATTCATAGCGTAAATTCTCCAATCAGCAGGGAGCAGGGGATTTGCTGATTGCAGAACTATAGGTCTGACTCAGGACCTCTGCAAAGAGACCGCTGCTTCCACTCTGCACCTTGCTAGCAGGGGGCAGGCTCTTCTTTTTTTTTTTATAAATTCTTTATAGGTTTTTTCTTTTTTTTGTAATGCAATCGAAAAACAACAGTCATACATAGTGTACAAAAGAAGGCAGGTCAAGGAAAACCAAAATAGCAGTAAAGTATCATAGGATAAACACCTTAGAGATCAATCACATTCCAGCTCAACATTAGCTGGCATAAACTTTCCTTGCCAGACCATGTATGATCAAAGAGCGTTAGCCATATAGCTTATCCATATTTATGAGTGGGTGGAATGAGGACGAGAGAAGAGAAGGGGGGAGGAGAAAGAGGGAAAAATACGAAAAGGCAGTAGGGAGGGGACATGCGGACGGTCATCAACGAATCCCCAGTGGTTCTTGGTCGCTCCTCCATGTGTTTCGTCCACATGCCTTGCTAGCTCCTATCCATAGGAATACACTAAATGGATGCAGTACCACATCTCCACCCCAGATAGGCCCGTTGTTCATCACACTTCCCCTTCTTGGGACGTAGTAAATTCCGTCCAGTAGAACCAGGTGCGATTGAACTGGGTAACTCTTTGGTTGGCAAAAGCAAGGAGATCCTCTATTCTGTAGATCTCACCGACCCTTGTCAGCCACAATGAGATCAATGGTGCAGATGTGCTCTTCCAGTACAGGGGGATGCACACTTTCACTCCACTGAGTAAATGCACTAAGAGAGATCTCTTGTAGCGGCGTAAGGACATGTGGGCCAGGTGTAGGAGGTATTCAGCCGGGTCGGACCCTAAACTAACCCCCGTCAATGTATTGCAAACCTTGGCCACTTCATTCCAGAAATCCCTGAGCAAAGGGCAGGACCAGAATATATGCAACAGTGATCCCTCCTGTTCCT